TAAAGGGGCCGCAGGTGCTGCCTGGGGGGTGGGTCTGGCCTGGCCTTGTCTCTAGGACTGGTTCGTCCCTCCTCCCCAGGACCCTGCAGGCACCGTTTATTGCGTCGCCTGCCATAAATGTAACGTAGGGGAGGCCTGACTTGAAGGCAAGGTCCAGTGCCATAGGCCCCACTGCCTTTGCACAGGGGTGGCCCATGGGGCAGGTGCTGGGAGCTGGAGGAGGGGACAGGGCTGTAGCGGCTTGAGGGGACCCGGTGCCAGCGGTTAGCCGGTGCTGCTAAGTGTGAACGGAGATTGCTGGTGCCGAGCGGAGCAGTGCTGTCACCTGTGCTTTACACAGGGCAGGATTAAAGCATAGGCAGGCTGGGCACGTGCTAGGGGCCATAAGTGAAGAGTGGGCACTTGTGCTTATTTGACATATTATAATTACTGAGTGAAAAAAGTCATAAAAACTTCATCTACAATTGGGGGCCCACAAGTTTGTTTGCCTTGGGCCCGCTAAAGGGTGAATCCGGCCTGGCTTTACGTCTAATGCTCTTGTCAAAGTGCAGCCCAAAACAGCCTTTTGTTTCTTTTTTTTCTGCAGCTGCTTGGCGTTGCTGACTCCTGTTTCTACAAATGTAATTTTTAAAGCTCTAACTTGGAAGGGTATGAGAAGGTGATGCAACATTTGACACAGGCACTAGGAAAAAATCACCCCCGTGTCATTTGGCCACACTGTGCAGCTGACAAGCTCCAGAAAGAGTTTTCAGTTTTTCCGTAGTCCTTATTATGAAAAGATTAGCCAGGAGGCTTTTGTTTGGTTACTGTGGATTTACAACTTTAGTGGATCCAGTGTCAGGTTCAATGACATAATACTATAATTGTGTCAGCTAGTGGCATCTTGGGGCACTTTTACATGTATTTTGGGGGTGGGTGCTTTAACTGGAGTGGCTCTGAGAGTGGAGCTGGTCTAATTAAAATGCTGCAGCATCTTGTGTATCGGTCTCCATGCATGTCAAAATAGCAGTGAGGGTGCTTGAACTAAAGCTCATTCAACTTCAGCTTGTTAATGTTCTTAAGGTGCAGCAAGGGAGGTTTAGTTGGATATTAGGAAGAACTTTCTCACTAGGTGAGTGGTGAAGTACTGGAACAGGTTGCCTAGAGAGGTGGTGGCAGAGCCAACCATAATGGGCTGCGAGGCCTGGGGCAAATCAGCCTGTGCAGAGCCCCCTTAACACTTCGCAGGGCTGTGGTACCCCTGCAACGGGGGTGGAGGAAATCTCTGTGCTTCTTCCGCAGTGTGGGGCTGGGCCACGAGGTCCAGGTGCGCCCTGTGGGAGGGGCCATGGCCACTCCACCCAGCTCTGGGGCCCCCCCAAAGTGCGGGGTCTGGGACGGTTGCCCCAATTCACCGTATCCTAGGGACAGCTCCAAGTGGTGGAATCTCCATCTTTAGAGGTTTTCAAGACCCGGCTATACAAAGTCTTGACTGGGATGATCTAGTTGGGGACGGGCCTGCTTTGAGCAGGTCCCTTCCAACCCTAGGTTTATTTGATTCTATACACAAGATGCAGAGACTGGCTGGAGCGAACTAATTATTGCACTCCAGCGGACTTGATTAATCGAGTCTGCTCCAACATGCTGTAATTACAGCATGCTGGAGCAACCTTTCCACCATGTCTACAGGCACCCTTGGATTCTATTTGGGGACAGAGCTACTTGGACCCCTTTCATAAAAAGGGATCTTGTAAGTGAGGAGCTATTTTATTTATAGCAAGTGTAACGAGGAAGATAGAAGCATTCTTTAGATAATATTTTTTGGTGTTTTCCCATGGAAAGTCCCAAAATTAAGATTTAAAAAGTCCTAGTTGTCTGAAATCCTATAATGTGCATTCAATTGAAGAGTTTCTGAAAGTTTTTTTTAAGACACCCTTGTGTAGCTTACCCTGGAGTATGTTTGACACCCTTGTGTAGCTTAGCCAAAATAATTTAGATTGGTATCCTGTGTTTAAACTTGTTTTCTGGAAAACTGAAATTGGATTATAGTAGTACCAAACAAGACTGAATCAGTTACATTTGTTGGCTGTATTTTTATGGGATCTATTGACCTATGTAAAGACAATTTAATGAATGTATACTTTGTGTGTGTGTGGTATATGTGTGGTTGTTCTGGCATTGACCTTTTTACATAAAACATTAAGCTGAAGTATTAGATTAAAATTGTTAACTGTTTTCTTTATCTCATCTTTCTAGATGGAACTAGAAGCATTACGTTCTATTTACGAAGGAGACGAGCGTTTCAGAGAACTTAGTCCTGTTTCCTTTCAGTACAGGGTAAGACTTTATGAAGTTTTGTAGCTAAATGGTATATGTTGTATATATTACAAAATAGTTTCTTAGAACATGGCTATTCACCTGGCGGACAATAATGGCATAAAGAACTAGATTGATGAAGCTACTTGGGCCATGGGCACGCTGACAGATTATTTGTGGCAGATCAGTCTGACCACGTCACAGCCCCTAAAAGTAGTTCAGTCCCACCTGCAATAGTGGCAGATACCCCAGGATGAGTGGCTATCTTTTCTGCCGAGAGCCTGCTTTTTTGTGTGTGTTGTGCCTTGAGTGTCATCTCTCTGGTGTGTTTAAAGGCACTAGGCATCTGGCTTCTAGAGTGGAATCAACAGTTCTCCGTAAAGTCAAGTCAGTCCTGAGGCCATTGAGACCATTGAAGCACCTTGGATGCTGTGCATCATTGGTGATTCTTTGGGCAGAGTGACCTGGTGACACCCATCTTCTCTCCAAGTATGGAGGGCCATTGGCTCGCGGGGAGCTCATGTGCCCTCTGACAGGTCTTGTTTTTAGTCCTGCTAGGCATCCACGTGCCCTCCTCACCCAGGCTCGCCCAGGTGAAAATACCGGTTTAGTCATCGACAACCCAACCATGGAACAGGCTGTACTAGTTGACATGGTATCAGATAGCAGACCAAGAGAGGCCTAGTCTTATGGGGTCCCTCTATAAAGCATGGTCAGAATTAGGCATCTCAGAATTAGGTCCATAAAGCCAGCAGGCTGAGGAGAGCATCTCCTAAGCAAGCCAGTGAGGGGAGAAAAAAAGAACAGAAGTATATCTCAAGCCATACCTTCTCTGGTGCTTAAGTATTGCCAGTTAAGATTCATAGCTTAAAACCTTTCTCCAGCAGTTAGGTGCCAGAATAATTTATTTAAAAAAAGCAAAGAAAACCTGCTACATTTTAGGCAGTCTTTTAGAAAGTTGCAGTGATGGTCTCTTATGTAGCATCCTGGTAGTTAAAGAACTCACCCTGTATGTGAAAAGCCTAAGTTTAGTGATCACCTGAGCCAGTAGGAGTAGAAAGCTATATTTTCTACATCCCAAGAGAATGCAGGAAAGAATTCAAGATTCTCCAGAGCAAGATAATTCAAGAGAGCAAGAGTAAACAAGATTCTATATCCTTCTGGCTAGATCACTCACTTCGGCAGTAGAGAAGACATTGGTTTTAGTCTTTTTATCCAATGACTCATGAATATAAAATACAATGCCTGGTGCCTAGGATATTCTCTGGAAGCTGGGGTATGTTGGTTTGAGCTGCCTGTGGCTGAATCCTGCTCTTCCAGTTTTTTTTAACTGTGGTATATTGACTGAAGGGAGCATTACCACCCTTTCCAGCTGTGTGTTTTGTTTTGTTTTGTTTTAAACCAAATAGCAGAGGCCGTTTCGTTAAACTCAGAAATGTCAGACAGACAGCCTGTGAACCAGATTCAGCCCATGGAGCCTTGTCATCTGGCCAACAGGGCTCCCATAAGTGCCAGGAATTCAGGGGCAGGGCTTGCTCCCAAGAGCCAGGACCTGGAGCCCTGCTGGCAACCCATGTTGCCACCGCTTATCCCACTGCCCTGCATAACAGACCATTATCCTGTTTGCTTTTTATACTGTACAGTAGAGTCCAGATCATTCATAGATGGGTGTTTCACAGCCAACTTTATTTGCAGCGGTTGATGAATAAAGGACATGCAATTCAAGTTGTTTTTCAAACCTTTTACTCCAAAAGGGCACTGCTTCTCAGTGGCCCACAAAGCTGACTAGAGAAGTAGTGTCCTTTGATACAAAAGTAGCTGGAGCACCACAGCAGTCGCACACAGCTATTTACTGTGGCTTGTGTATACCCCTGGTTCCTTTTACATTACAAACCCTCAGCTTTTCACAGGGTAAGGAACTTGGCTCTACAAAGTATCCAAATATTTTAATTTGGGCAATGGAAAGTGAGTGCTTGTTCTCTTGCAATGCTGCAGTGTTTTGATTGCAATCGCTGCCATTTAGATCCAAGAAAACCTTTTCCATAACGTTAAATACTTCATCAAACCTTTACTATTGGTTTTTATAGGGGAGAATTGAGAGGTAATAGTTATGCTGCTTTTATACACTTACATGTGAAAATACTATGCTAGTAATGGTTTTTTGAAGCTTACTGTTTTTGAATGGCAGTTTTCAATCACTTTTAAAAATAACTTGGGTAAGAGATAAATAGTGAGAGGTTTGCATACAGAATGTGATATTACAAGGTTTGATAAGACTAAACCTTTCCATTTTTAAGGTGTTTCATCTCTTTTTTAGATAGGTGAAAACGGAGATCCTAAAGCCTTCCTAATAGAAATTTCCTGGCCAGAAACATACCCACAGACGGCTCCAGTCATATCCATGGATGCTTTCTTCAACAACACAATGTAAATATTTAAAATAGGTCTATTTTATATGTTCTTTTTTCAAGTTTCATCCCTTGAACCTAAAACTGGGTTATACGGTCTCTTCTAGATCTTCATCTATAAAGCAAAGCATATTGGAAAAATTAATGACAGAAGTGGACGTTAATCTTGGAACTGCCATGACGTATACACTTTTTGAATACGCCAAAGATAATAAAGAATTGTTTATGGAAAATCAACCTGCTTATGTTGCAGTAAGTTTATAATTTTTGGTTTTAATTTTTTTTTTATGAAATATTTGTCTAGATATGAGTATTCATACAAAAAAAATCTGAAATGACTATTCAGACCTTCAAATACTCCATTGCTATCATAACATTCTGGGAGGCATGTATGGAGGCATATGTATGTACTGTATTTTACACAGCATGCAAATAGGCTGGTGTCTAGAAGATAGTGCATAGAAATTTATCACTTCTCTAGTGTTTAGCCAACTTCACAAAAAGTTTCTTGAAAAGCAGTGATTGCAAATACTTCCTAATCTGGGATACAAAGCAAGCTGATCTCCAAGGGTGATCTGGGGAATTTGCAACAGAACCAAAACTAATGAGAACAGGTATGTGAACTTTGACTCTTGGTATGACAAACATCTCCAGTGTGAATGAGTGATGCTTCAAATTGGTATATGAAAATTCTGAAGCAATGAATTTTTGGTTGGAAAAATGAGGTAAAGAACACCAGAAAAGCAGAAAGTAATAAAATACTTTAATGCTAAAAACAAAGATAGTGTTATCTTGCATCTAGTTTTAATGATCCAGCAGCCTGGAAAAAGGTGAAGTTTGTGCTTGGGCACTATAACTATCTTTGGAATGATAATCCAAACCAGTTGGAGGGTGGATTTGCACCTGTAAGACCATGTAAAGTAGCATCCCACTTAGAGTAGGAGACCTGTCTAGTCTGCTCTGAGAAGATATGTACACGAGTGTGGGCATTACTGTCTAGTTACTTTATTCTTTACTTTGTTTGGGACTGGATTGTATGTATAAAATGTTTTGACTCTTGAGAGCTACAGCTTAAGCAAGGAAATGTTGAAGCTTTATTCTTCACATGATCTTTCTATGTGGCTTAGAGAACCATTCATGCTAAGGGATCTTATCACTTTTTTGTCATAGTGTACATGCTAGAAAAGCAAGAAACTAAGTTTCAATAGCAAAGGCTTTTTTGGGTGATGGCTTTTGATATTCTAAGTGAGATACTGTACTTTAACTGCTAGATTACTTGTTCGAATCCAGCTCTTTTCTGCAATGATCAATAGATAATGAGGTGGACATAACTAACAGGTGGACATGTGGCAATAATACTCTTGTCAGCAACTCAGAGACATTTGTTAATCTGGCAAAAAGGCCAAGGATCAAATTGGCTTGAGAAGTAAAAGCCTCCTTTTGCTCTTACGAGGAGCATTGTACTTGGATGAACTCTAGTATATATACACAGACCTTCAGAACTGCCAGTGTGTTTCTACAGTGAGCTGCAAATACCTTCTTTCACTTCAAAAAACAAAATGCTCATTTTTAGGTATTCAAAGGACTTTGAGATGAACAGAGTTCAAACTCTACATCTGAAAACAAATGAATCAGATTAATTTGCATCATTACTATTTTATGGAGTTATTTCATGTCTTTTTTTTGAAACGGACAATTTAGTTCTACTTCAGGGACAAATACTGTATTTTGTTGCATACAGCATGCCTCAGAATATTAGCACCTTATTTTTGAAAGGCAGAATGAAGAAAAAAAGACTTTTTCTAGAGTTATGGCTGCAGAGAGCAGGGACAGTCTAATCTTCAGATGGCCCAACCTGCTGGTTGACTAAAGCTGAAATCCAAGCTGCTGTGAAAGACTCATCTCTATGGATGGATCTATGATTCTGAAAAGAGCTAAAGAGTCTCCAAGGCTATGAAATTGGAGGAGAGAGCAGCAGACAGAAAAATTTCCCAAAGAATGGTTAGTTCTTTTAGTGGAACATCAAGATAATTAAAAAGTGAAGATGATTGTTAACACGTGTGGAGTAAAGAACAGTGAGCCTTTAAGTCAACTGATTCCCTTAGCTGCCTGAATAGTAATACCATAGCTGCTGCACTGCAGAGCAAGAATCAAAGCATGGTGCTTCTGTCCCAGGCAGAAAATCAGCTTCCACACTTAATACAAGCACCCCAATTTGAAGGAGGAGGGGCTGGCTGACTTTGAGGTGAAAAATGTGTGTTGTATGCAAGAAAATGTGGTATTCAACCTGTTTACAGTTGGAACCCTTTATGGAAATAGTTGATTATACAAGAACACTGTTTTTTTCAGTGCTAGCATCATATTAGTTTCTTCTTTTGCCCTTCTCTCTCTTTCCCTATTATCTCATCTATGAAGACAGTTTTATGCTCCTACAAATTTATGTGCCTAAGAACGAATTATATTAATGATTGAGGAGTGTGAACCCCATCACATTGAAACTTACTTAGTTGTTCTTAAATGTGTGTGGGGTGTGTTTTTTTCTTTATTGTTGGTTTCATAGTTTCATAATTGGTAGGGTCAGAAGGGACCTGAGCAGATCATCAAGTCCAACCCCCTGCCATGGGCAGGAAAGAATACTGGGGTAAAATGACCCGGCTAGGTGATTACCTAGCCTCCTTTTTGACAGTGGTATTATTGTCAACATGGAAAGGAAACTTTTCCAATCCCCACCAAACAGAATTGGGATGTGGGTGGTTTCAGAGGTCATGGAAGCATTTGGATTACCTGCCATCATAAGAAGCACATTAGAAATGCATTATTACATAAGTACGGAGAACTAGAGCCATAACTGTCTTTTGATAAAAAGTGCAAGCTCCTTTGAGTAATGAATTAAAGAACAGACGCAGCGTCCCAACAAGAATTTGGACATAATATTATTCTTGTAGCTTTTGTAGAATACCAGTCAGTGTAATATCTAGGTATGCATTGTCAATTCACTTGCTGGCAAGAAATTTAACAGTTCTTTCTATTTTTTCTCAGCCTTCAGGAGGCAATAATATTTCAGTAGGAACTCCTGATGTAGTCTCATCAAGTAAGAAAAAAGACAAAAAGGAACAGTTGTCCAAAACCCAGAAACGAAAGCTGGCAGATAAAACAGGTTAGTTCAACATATTTTACACCTTTTTTCCAGACTTGAGAAAGTGTTGCAGTGCTTTTTTTAATAGCAGTTATGTTCCTTTAAAGGCCTGGGTTCCTATACACTTTGCACTGCAAGTGAGAACGTAATGATCATTTCCCAGTTTTCACATGTTTTGGTAATAAAGTTGGAGAACAGTTTTTCACAAATGATAGTTTCTGCATAGGACCCTAGGGTGGAATGGCAGTGATATGACAATTGGAGTGAGTGAGCAGAATTGAGTGGCTAAACTTTCAGGTTAAACTTACCTGACTCTAGCTAGCACAACATTTCTTTGCTTCAATAAATGCACTTACTGTACATTGCTTCAGTCAGACCAGTTCAACTATTACAGACCCTTATTTATAATTTGTCTGATTCTTGCTCACTGCTTTTTACTTGGCTAAGTAGCCAAGAGCTGCTGACAGTTCAGCTCTGAATGGGTTAAAACTGTAGCTTTTGCCTGACCAGGAAAAAGGGTAAGTGAGCTGAAGATTAGGCTCTGTCCCTGCTGTATGCAGCTATAGCTCTAGAAAAATCTTTTTCTTCATCCTGCCTTCCAAAAACAAAACGTGTATCTCATTTCAGGGCCCAAGGTATGCTAGAAAGTATGGGGATTCTTTTTCAATAAAATCAAGATTTTTTTTTTCATATTAGCCATTATATGGTCATGCTGTCTCTTAATTCATATAATTTTATGTGAATCATTTGATAATCTGTGGCCAGAATTACCTGTGTACCATTACTTAAATTCAGTGACTAGATTATGTATTTTCCTCTTGTAAGATCTGATCTCTTTGACAAATCTTTCCACATGCTGATTTCAAATTACCCCCTAAATCAAGCCCTAGAAAGGCCTTTTTAGTGAAGCTGTGTGATTTTTTTTTTTTTTTTCCAGAGGATAAATTTATCTTTTCCCCAAGAGGCTTATTGCTAATATCCTCAGTTTTCTTAACCCCTTTTAAACTTTCTTTGTTGACATTAACAATTTTACAAGCGTTCGAAGAATATTTATATTGTCTGTGAACAACTTATAACTATTACATTAATATGTAGTGAAATTGCATTGCATTGTATTATATTTGTTCTTACAGCTGTTTCATATCTTTGAAAATATACACAGAGCAACTAAGGTTTCTCATCAGTTTAACAGTTGAAAATGAATGTGCTTTATTCTTGTAGATCACAAAGGAGAGCTTCCTCGAGGATGGAACTGGGTGGATGTTATTAAGGTAACGTGACTGTTACAACTGTGAAAGTACTACATATGCACAATGGTTTTATGCATATGTAACTACACATTATATTTAATCTGTCTTTTTGTTTTCTTCCTAACAATGTTTGGATTTGACTGTGGTCTCTGATTCATTTCTATATACTTCCAGCATGTAAGTATTTTCACATTATTTTCTTAAATGTTGAAAAAAAGATTTGTTGAGAAGTAGGGAAGTTTGTTACCTGTTTCTCTAGATCTTAATTCATTGATAATCTGTTACTGGGCTTTAAAACTTACAAAATTCTTCCAATATGTAAATTACATATGAAGTGAAACACTGACTGACTAATAACTCTTGGATTCGAAGAAGAAATGTATTTTTCCCACGTTTTGAGCATTGAAAATTTAAGCTTTAGAGAGGAAAGTTTACAGCGTGTAAATTAGCTGTGACTTTCAGAATACACTAACAATTCTCAGTATTTTCATTGGTCACAAGTTGCAAAAGTGACATTAACAGAATGGTCTGAACATTTCAGAACTGTAGATAAGTAGAAGCAAAAAAAATTACAACACCTTTTTGTCTCCCAAGTGAGATCTCCGTATTGTCTTCCTGTGGGCCTGCATCCTTCTTCCTTTCCTTCCCCACAAAGAACTTTCTTCTCCTCTCTTTGCTCTTGAATGGAAATTCATCTTGCTATTTTTAACACATTTCATTGCATAATAGAAAAAAACATTGATTGTATATCAGAACAACCAAACCACTGCCAGCATACTTCTGAGAATAGTGTTAAAATGACTTGTAGCAATCAGTCAGGTACAGCTGTTATTTTGCGCGCCATGCTTCAAAATTTAAAAGTGGCTATTTAGAATGGGTGTCTTGGATTCCAGAGAACTTCTAGAGAGCTCAGATTCCAGAGAACTTTCCCAAGTTTGTTTAGGTAATCATACGGTGTTATAAGCTTTGGCAGTGCCCATTTACATTCAATTAGGTATTATTTTAATTGAAGATAAGAGGTGCCCTAAAAATGTGTGGGATAATTCCTTCAAGTGCATTTGTTTGTTTAACCAAACTGAGGATTGGATTTGCATTTCTTTAATGGAAATACTACCCAAAATTATTTATCTTTTACAAAGTTTCATTGAGGAGTATCCTTATTTTTGTGTTTTAAAATATTTCATAAAAATAAAAAAGGCAGAGTTTTAGCTCCAGGAACAATTATGGTTATTTAATGTGTAAACTAAAATAGAATAATTTTTTTAAAAACTTTTTGATGAAATAGCTTGATTAGTTTGTATTAGTAACTAAATATGCTTGTATTCAATGTACAATGGAAATAATGTAGTTTCTTATTCTCAATAAATGAAATAACAGTCTAAACTCTGAACACTTTTCTTTTTGTGTCTTTTATAGTTAAGCAAAACTGGTTCTAAAGATGATGAATAAAGGACTTTGATACAAGAAAACTCCACCTTTTTAATACAGTGCAATTTTGGGTCAGCATCTTTTTCTTAGTAATTTTCTTGTTAAAGTAAAACATTTTATAAAGGACAGTTTCCTAACTAGTAAACCTGGCCACGTGTTTATCCAGGTTATTCTGGTTTTTCATTTTTCTTCACAAATAAAATCTTGCCTTAAAGGAAGGTAAAAGTGTGACAGAATATATTGAACTTTAGAGAGCTTATTTGCTTTCTGTCTGTAGCAGAGAAGAATAGGGATATATGCAGTGTTAATTTATATTTTACTATTTAGTAAAATATAGTGAAGTCTGGTTATAGTGAATCCTTTGACATTGTAAGCATTTCCTGACACTCTTATTCCAATGGAAGAAAAACACTATAACAGTGATTAATCACTTGACAGCATAACTATTAAAAATAAACTGTTCACTCTAAATAAAACTGTTGTTGTTTGTTTCCCTAATTACAAGTGTAGAACAACAATAAAACATGATTATGCTGCTAAAGATTTGTCTGAGCTAAAATATGTAGTCCTGTTTTAACTTAACTGCCACAATTGCAAATGCTAGTTAAAACAAGATTGCATGTCTGAGCTGTACAATTTCAAAGTAGAAGATAATGAGCAGTTTTTATACCAGTATGTATTCTTTGTTCTGTGCAGTATACTATCTGTTTTAGTCTTTCTGCCATGTGCATCTTTACGGAAGGCCTGGGGGTTTGAGGGAGAGAAAGTTGCTCTCCTTTTGATAATGAATTGCTGTGCTGATCTGTTCTGATGGGCTTCTATTTTCTTCCATTGGGGAAACGGGTTCACCATGCGGGTTTGTTCTCAGAATTATGGAATGCTGGGGAAAATGTCACCCCCCTGCCAAATCTGTTGGAAAACATTTTTGTACAGGTCTGCTGTCTTGTATCAAAAAAGAAAAATCCTCTTACTGTGTAAACAGTAATTGAGTAGAAGATGCCTTAATGTCATTAAATTTTGTTTTGAGATTGACTTTAATAAATACCTATTTATCTGCCATGTTGTGAGTTCTCTTCTTAAGTTTCTGATGGTGGCTGCTGTACAAATGAGGTAAATTTGCATTTGTATAACATTTTCCCGCTCATGAAGCAGAGCATTTTCAAATTAATTGCCAAGAGAATTCTTTCTTCCCTGCCCTCTTTCTGCATCTTTGTACACTTGTATATTCTTCAAAATAATCATTTAAGCTTCTTAATTGGGATGTAATATGTTACATTTCTGTAGCAGGATATATATACCTGCTGAGCCGTAAGGCTCACAGCTCAACAGGTATATATATCCTGATGACGAGGATGATGATCCTCATATCATTCTCAGTATATATACAGCAGCCCCACTGTCCATTTAAAGAGTGGAGCCAAGTACATCATCCTTGAGGACAGAATCATAGGCTACAGTCTTGGTCAGTAGGTTTGTTTGGTTATTGAAGCGTGTGGGTCATTATCTAGAACTCATATGCTGCAGATATGCAGTTAATTTCAGTAAATTATGTCTCCCCACTGTCTCTCACTTAAAGGATGGATTACATTTACTTCAAAATTGCAGCAGTTTTTGCTTCAAAACAGTAGTGGTATGAAATGGCCATTGAGTCTGGAAAGGAAGAAAAGGTCACTGGAAATACTGTGCTGTCTTGAGTCTTTTCTGCAAGACTGACAGTTCAAGGGAATTGTAACTCTCCAATGATGAGCTGTGCTTTTTATTGAAATAATCTGCAATGTAAACCAAAAGGAAACAGGATCTGACTGTACAGGATTTTAAATCAAGAAGCCAACAACTGATTATCCTGATGGAATTTTAAACATCTGAAGATCTGCATTTTTTGGTGTTCAGTAGCTTTTACGGAAATTTTTAAATACACATGGAAAGTCTACATCTGAAGGAAGCAGAATGTTTGATGCAAGCTTGATACCTATGGCTACAAGCATAATGGGTGGCTTATTAAACAAAAGGTACGCATATAATCTTGGTGAGAATGCCAGAAAGTCTCTAACATTTCAGGAAAAAGTTCCTTTGGTAGGTGCATGGGCTGCTCCCAAGGGAAGACACTGCAGCTTTGATCTCTCCCAGCCACTGCAAAGATGGGCTCTTCTATTCCAAAGCTCTCAGCCAGAGTTAGCTTGCCTAAACTAGTTGCCTCTGTATATAAATGTAGTTACCATGGTAATTTATTTGAATGGATCAGTTGGAGTGGAGAACAAATGAGAACCACCTCGTTCCTCTCCTAGTGCTACTATACACAGAAGCAAGTTTCTGAGGCTCTTGAAGGGTCTGATTTTTTAACTAGAGGCTGCTGCTTATAGAGTGGAAATTGTTCTGAAGTTTCCTGGCACTTTGTACCCAAAGGAGAGCTACTGCTGTTGCAGAACAACAAATAGCTTTTGGCCCTTTTCTTTCTATTAACACAGAAAATTGTATTTTGTAGCAGGCTTATCTCCAAGGAAGATAATCTGGATAAGGAACAACAACGAATGCATGCAAATGATTGTTCAATGATAAATGCTTGATTTCCATGAAAGTTTGCAAGGTAATGTGTTTTGACAAACAGTATTTGTTCAAACAGTGCTTGGAGGGAGGGGGATGAAATGCATTTCTAAATGTAAATGTTGCACAAGGATGGAACTCTAGTACCAAGAGTTCTCAAAACAGGGATGTCTACTGCTAGCAGCTAAACTTAAGTACTGGTGAAAAGTACTTTGGACTATTTGTAAGCTGGTAAAATTAGTGGTTCTAGAAACCAAATAGCCACAGCACTCTTAATTCTGTAGTAGAAGGGATTGTGGGTTTTTTTCTTTTTCTGTTGCATTTTTAAATGGGGAGGGTTCAGGCATGCTAGAGAAAAATGCAGAAAAACTGAAGTGGAAAATGATCAAAGGCTCAAGAAGGATATAACAATGCATAGCAATGAATGCTTTTTCAGACATGCATCCTAATGTGTTCTGCCAGAGCACAGTTAAAAGGCTGACTACCCTGAAATGCTAGTGTATATGAGCTATCAGCAGCTCCTGCCTAGTCTCTGTTACATAACTCATCTGTTGTTCCCTCTGAGAATCTTTCTTCCATAGAAACAATTTAGCAAAGTCATTTTATATCCTTATGGTAATACCAACGTTAGCCACTTCTTAAAAGTTTTGACACTGGTTTTCCTTTTTATTGTTCATGTTTTAATTTCATGTTTTGAGAACAGGAATTTATGGTAGTCGTTCTCTTTGATACAAAGGTAAACTTTCTTTCAGTATCATATTCCTGTCTCTACTGGAGAAAAAAATTAAAAACTCAAAACCTGCTTTCTGAATAATAAAAATAGAAATTGCATTCTATTCTCTCTAACCAGGAGAGAAACAAAATTTTACAAAAAAAAATTGAAATATTTAAAACTACACCTTACTTTCAGAAAAGAACGTTTTCAGCAGGAGGTCACCTTTTCCCCCACCACTTTCTAGGTCTCTTCCCCTTGCGCCCCTGCTCCATATGCTTTCCATAGGTCCCAGAGCACGTTGTACCAGGCCAGTGGTTCTCAACTGGGATGCCACAGGAACCTGCTAGGGCTACTGTGCTGCTGTTTTTACTGCTGCGGGGCAAAACTGCCCTACCGAGCTTGGTTTTTCAGGTAATGCATTGGAGCCAAACTGGAAGCGACTGCATCAGGAAGGCCCATTGCCTGCATTACGTTATGTAGGCAGTCATGCCATTTGTGCTGCAGCTGCTCCGCTTCAACTCACTTACAGAAAAATCAAGCTGCACAGCACAGTTTCACGCCCTGGTGGCGGTGGCAGATGTCAAGATAGTTTCACTTGGTGACAGCAACACCAGCATCTGTCCCACACAGTGTTTCCATTAGGCATGTGTAGGACCAGACTGGAAAGATCTGCGGCATGATCAGGCACTCTTGCCTGGATTAGGGTTAGTAGCTAAACCCAAGGAGGCAGGTGAACCACTTTTTCTGCAGCCACTTTCCTGTTTGGCTCCAACAAACGGAGTTGGAAGGCTGTTCTACCTGATGGTGGGGCAGTTCTGTGGATGGGAGTGACATCTGTCACACTGCCTACATTTCCAAGTGGAACTGCCCTCTTCCCCTGTCTTTCCATGTGGTGCTGAACCAAGAAGGGCTGATGTGTCACATGCAGGGACATTTCTGCCTGTATTAGCTATTAGATATGCTTACCTTCATAGAGTTATCAGTGATCACCATGTTGTTTAAGTGTGCCTAGGTTTCCATGCCCCCCTCAGAACAGTTAGTACTGGCTCAGTCCCTAATACAGCCCTAGTTTCTTTCATTCTCTCAAGAACCCTGTGGGACCCAGGGTCAAATCTGTGTAATGCTGGGCATGTTGGATGAAGAAAGTGCCCAATGCCCTCTTTACATGCATCATGCTAAAATAGAGGCTATCTCTCTGCATGGCTATGACTGATGTAACAGATAAGTTGGTTATAATAAAAGCAAAAAAGTTTGTCTTGTAGTGAAAAAATAATGCAGAGTAATTCTTTGTGTTCACTAACAGATTAATTGGAAGCAAGCATGAGTTCAAGTAGTAGTTTTAGAGAGGCAGGAAGTAGATAAGCTGAGTCAGTACAATGAAAACTACCAAGCCATGGGTTTTACTTTGTGAATTGGGGTCCTCAGCTCTAACGACATACAGAACAAGAGAGAAGGACTTCTTTCAGTGAACGAGGAAATGAGTTATGTGCTTTTAATTCAGCCATGAATTCAGGATATTTGCAAGAACTGCCAGGCTCAACTGGCTCATTACTTATAATGGTTTTTCATGCGTGGTTTATCTAAATTTAAAATAGTGTTTCCAGCCTTATTTTTTGATACATGATAACCTCGCTTTTGAAATGGGGTGCTACTAAGTTCTGAAAAACTGTAGAGGGGTGCCTTGAGTCTTTAAAGATTGAGAGCCATTGTAGGAGGCAATGTACTTAATAGCCTCTTAAGAGGGCTGTGCAAAATTTCACCAGCTGTTTTGTTTTGACAGTGTTTCGACTTAAGTTTGAAACAGCAAAATCAAAATGAAATGAAGGGCTTTGAAACAGCCTCAAAACGAAATGAAGGTAGTCAAAATATTTCAAAAGGGGAAATTGCAGCATCCACATGTGCACCCACACCCCAGAAGCGAGCGGGTAGTGTGATCTGGGATCGTTTTGAGCTGGCAGACAATCCCACATACGCTGTCCGCCTGCACTGCTGAGCCAAAACTAGTCAGGACAAGGAAACAAAACACATGAGCACCACATAGACACTACCCCCTTGCCCTTACTCCTCCTCAGCCTGACACCAGCAGGAGCATGCCCAAAAGGAAGTCCCCCTCTTGCTTCAAAGCGCCCATCCCCCCAAAGCAAAGGCAGGCCACCCTGGAACAGGTGGGGAAAGGCGGACAGAAAGCAGGGTGCATTGCAAGGGTGAGCGAGATCATCCAAAGCATTGGGGAGTTGCTTGCTGTGGATGGCCAGCCCTTCTTAGTTGAGAGGCCAGAATTCAAGCAGCTCATGGAGCTCGTGGCCCCATCATACCAAGTGCCTGCACACACCACCTTCAGCAGGACAGTGGTGCCCTCCCTGTATGAGGCATGCAGGGAGTACTTGAGGGAGGAGCTGCACAAGGCAGGTCTGCAGGTAGCCTTACACTTCACCTCGGACAGCTGGAGGAACCAGGGTGGAGATCATGCCTACCTCTTCCTCACAGGGCATTGGTGTGACCAGTCAGGCTATCGGTGGGCTCTCCTTCAAGCCAAGGTGATAGATGAGTCCCACATAACAACAGAGATCATGGGGGCCATGAACCACTTGGTGCAGGGGTGGCTGTCTGGGCAGGGCAAGCTCACCTGCAGGTTCATGGTCACTCACAATGGGGCCAATATGGTCAAGGCGGTCTGTGATGCCACTGTGTGGCTGAAGTTCCACCTCATTGTCAGGGATGCCTTGGACGGGGACAGGGCTGCTGGTGATGGTGCCAGCACCACCAGCAAGCTCATTTCCAGATGCAGGAAGGTGGCAGGCTA